CCAAATATTTTTAATCATTATCTATTTATTATATAAAATTATCTAATCAAATTTTATATAAAAATTAAATTGAGATAATTAAACCTAACCAAATGGAGTAATATTAAAATTTTATTATTTGTGTAAAAACATGATATTATTCTAGAATAAGAAAGAGTGCAAGAATATATTATCCATAATTAATTTTTTTTAATAAAAATATCTAATTAAAATCTGCATTTATATGTAAGAAAATGGTGATAGTGAACCTAAATTTTTGACTCCTACTAAATTTTAACATGATTTCCATTGACTCCCAGAGTTCAGTCAGCCCCAATGCACCCAACGTCTTAATTGAGAGGAATGAATGAAAATAAATGAGGAGGAAAAAGGAGTAAACGATTGAGAGAAGACGTTTCAATTTTTTTTTTTTTTTAAATTTTTAATGAAAGAGAGCGGACGTTTCTTTGTTTTATTTAGATGAAAATTACCTCCTAGCTCTCCTTCGACTTACTCTCATAGTCTCATTTCCCATCAATCCAAACGTAGCAATTACAATGGAAGAGATGACAAGGGAGGATGAAATTGACGAATTTAGATGCAATTAGGACACGGAAGTACCCACTTGGATGCGAATGGCATTTCTGATGGGAGTTGACTGGTAACAAAAAGCTGTTTCCCAAAAGAATCAAATTGCAATTGACAAAATGGTCCCTCTCCTTTTTCAGTTTTTAACGCAATTTATTGGAACAGAGTCCTGTGAGTGTGATGCAATTTATCTTATATAAAAAGGAGTATATTTTTATTATTGGTAAACCTTACCATTTTATTAATAGTTATAAAAAATATATTTATAAATTATACTTTAATTTGTTGTTATTATAAACTAATAACATGTTACATTCCCTTATCTAAACTGAATTTTAATTTTAATTGACATTATACAATACACCAAATACAAAAAAAAATAATAATAAGTACTGTGTTAGTTTCAAAGGAAGATTGGGCAAACAATTTTTAAAGCATGAGTGTAAGATTATTTATCTTTTTTGAGCAATCGACCAATGTGTTTTATTCTTAATTTTTTATGAGTATATATGTTTGGATGGTTAATTAAAATATTTTCTCTGTTAATTTGTGCGTGGGTGTGGTAACTACCACACTAAGAAATGTTGGGGCAGCTAATTTTTAATTTTTTAAATTGTATTTAAAAATATTAATTTATTGATTAATTTTAATTTATTAATTAATAAATATTAATTATTTTATTAATTATTAATTAATAATAATTATTAACTATTTTTCTGAATCAATTTAAACAAAATTAATATTTTTAAAGATTATATTTTATATTTATTGGTGGCCCTAACACTTCGCTGAGTAACCATAACACTGTCCAAGAGCACTTCCAAACTAATTCTTATTCGAATGACCTTAGGTGCATCCCCACAAAATAATATAATTATAATGTCATAAAAAAATTATAAATTTACAATTATTACTTGTTAATATACGGTTAAATTTTTTTCATTTAAAAATTTATTTGTAATATTATATATATCTATTTACTTAATAATATAATATGTTAAGTAAGTTTATAATAGGTACAGAAGCACAAAGTCTCTTGACATATTAAGAAAATCAATCACTTTAATGATTAATTAATTTTAATATTAATGATATAAATTATATTTAAAATATTTTAACGTAATTTATTTATTTTCATGAGTTTTTTATCATGGGCCTTTCAGATATATGATAAGGTATAATAAATATATTTTTTTTATAATTAATTTTCATTAAAAGTATAAATATTGATTTCAATTTAATCAATTAATTAATTTTTAATGAATATATTATCCATAATTAAAATTATTTATATATTAATGATATTAAAATATATATCAATTTTTATAATTTTTAATATAAATTAATTATAAAAAAACATATTTATTATATTTTTAATATGTATCATAAAAGCTCAGGACAAACAAACCCTGTTTTCATATATCGTCTGCATAAGAAGTTGGTACATACAACTCTCCATATATATCTTAAACCCCAATGGAGTCAACCCCTCGGCGCCATAGTTAAGACTGCACATTGAGTATAGTCTAAGTTTATGAAAATCACTACTACAGTAACAAATACTGAACTCTGCCACTTTCGAACAAAACCTTATTTACCAATTATTTGTTAATTCGAGGGCAGGAGCTGAGTTGCTTTAAATAAAATTTTAAAATTTAATTTTATAAATAAATTTAAATTTAAAATTTTCTTTTATAAATTTAATATAGTTTAATTTTAAATTAATTTAAATTTAATATAATTTTTAACTATTAATAAATTAATAACAAAGCAAATCCCCATTTATTTTTTTTATAAAAATAATGTCTTACCATCCGACTTCATTTTTTTTTAATGAATTACAATAAAAAAAATTTTAAACTCTAAATTTAAAATTAAAGTTTACCGTATGATGAAACAAATTGTCATCGGCCACGAAATCCAGGTGCTGACTGCACTTCTCTGATTTGCTTATGATTCGAAAATTGATTAACTCACCCCCGATTTTTAATTTTTTACTCCAAGACATCAAAATTACCCAGACATAATTTTAAATATCCTCCTCTTCCTCTGCTGCATTCACAAGCAGAAAATAAATATTTTAAACGCATTTTCCGGACTATTCATCTCCCCCGTCCGGAACTCGTCAAATTCCCAAACCCTCTCCTCCGCCGAGATTTAAGCCCTTCTATTTTACCCGCTAATTCTCAGGGACCTTCTTCCTTTTCTTTAACACCCTTCAGGTTCTCGTTTTCCCTCAGGATCCTCGAACAAGGAATTGGAATCTCCCCTTGTCTTCATCATTTCTTTTCCTTGTTCGGGATCGCCGGCAAGAACCTGATCGGAGAATCAAAATTCAAGGTTTAGATATATGTTCGACGTAATTCGAGATTTCCTTTTGTGGGTTCGATTGAATTTCCAATAGATGGACTAATTGCAGTTAATTTCTTGAGTTTTTGCCGGGGAACTAAGTTACTTCTACCGATGTCATTGTCCCCGTCGCGCCAATTAATCCTCCGGCGCCAATTAATGACCGTGGACAGATCGCGGCCGCTGCTGTACACCCGCTCTATCGCCAGCAGCAGCAGCAGACACGGCGTCACTCGCACGAGCAAGTCTGCGAGGTTAGCAGAGGTGTGCAGGGAAACGGCTGCGGAATGCACGGCGATCTACTGCTGCTGGCCTGCGGTATATAATTTACTCCTTTCTTAATTTCAAGAATTCACTTATAATTTTCGAAGCATGAATGTCATTGGTGTTCACGTGTCAAAATGGATGGAGTCATGACCTATCCATATAAGGTGGGGTAAATTATTAAGGTTCACGTAGAAATTAATTAGATATAGAGGGTCGATTAAGTGGGAAGTAAGTGTTAGACACCCCGTAATTTTTATATAATATAGTTATCACGTATTTTAATTTTAAAATTTTTTTAATTTTATAATAATTATAAAAAATAATAATAATAATAATAATAATAATAATTTAAACAAAAAAAAATCACTTTCAAAATAGCAAAGAATCTGTCATCATTTTTTTTTTGTTTCGGTTTCCGTTTCCGTTTCTGTTTTTATTTTTTTTTTCCACTTCTGTTTTTCGTTCTTTCTTTTTTTTTTTTTTCTGGCACTTCTTCTTTCTTCTAGACTTTCTTTTCGTTTCTGTTTCTTTTTCTAATGCCTAAACCCCCTTCATATTTTATAAGAAAACTCCTTTTATTCTTTTCCTATCTAATGCATCTACTGAGCTAAACAATAACAGATCCTAAAAAAACTTAATGAATAGCACCAAACTAAATCACAGGAAACAGATTGTTGTAGGGGGAGAAACAAGTGAAATCCTGTTTGCAGCAAGGACAACCAATAAACATTTTCTTCCTCAAGATCAATTACAGACAAACCATGAACTTAACAATGCACACCTAAAGAAAATAGGAAAATCAAGCTTTATTTTCTTGAAGTTCTGGTTACAAGCTTCAGATTTTCCCTTCCTCTCTGCTCTCTTCCTCCCTCTCGATCTCTCCAATTTTCCAATGCCCCCCTAAAGCCAAAGGCCCTTTTTTTATATACAAAGGGAAAAACGCAATCCTAATTTGCTTCTAATACTCAATCCCAATCCCTAAGAAAACAACCTAATCCTATTTGGAATGGGATTTCTTACCTTTCCCCTCATCTACCCCTTTTCAAGTCTAGATTCATACCTTTTGTGTTTGGAACTCCCACTTTGAATCCATTTCAAACTCTTCTTTTGTGCCTCTTGTTGATGACTTTCAATTTTCGAAAATTTCTTCAAAACTTTAGTAGATTTAGGGATAAGCCAAGGAATTTTTGTGATTGTTTTCTGTTGTTTATTTCCACCTACAAGCAAAACAACGTCGTTTTGTTGATTCCTCCTTTCAGCACTTCAAGTTTCATTTTTTTGCAAAAATAGTCCATTGACTTCTGATGTTAGCATTTAACTTCAATTAAAATTGGGTTATGACAGTTGCCCTCTCTTTATTTTTCTTTTTATAAAAAAAGAAAAGTAAAGAATTAAAGAATAACCCAATTTTAAGCTTTGAAAATAACATATAAGTGAAAGTTTCAGTCTTCATTTTATCTTTTGTGACATGCGATCTTCATCTCCTCTTCTTTCTTAGATGCGGTCTTCATCTAGGATGTGACTTTTAAGATGCGGTCTTCATCTCTTCTTCTTCCTCAGATGCGGTCTTCATCTAGGATGTGACTTTTAAGATGCGGACTTCATCTCCTCTTCTTCCTTAGATGCAGTCTTCATCTAGGATGTGACTTCCAAGATGCGGTCTTCATCTTATCCTTTGCGAGATGCAGTCTTCATCTCCTCTTCTTCCTTAGATGTGGTCTTCATCTAGGATGTGACTTTTAAGATACGTGTTAGGTTCTCTTTGTATTTTGATGATGATTTAAAACCATGATTCAAAAGAGTTTAATCTATTTTTGTGCTAAGTGTGCAGGAAAATTAATTCAAGGATTCTAATCTTTCCCCACGATTAGAATTAATTCATGTTCCCCTTGTTCAGAGTTCTAGGTTCGAACCAATTTAATTTGATTCGAACCAATCCTGAACTTCTTTTTTTCGAAAATGGTTCAAACCATTATTTCTGGCTTCGATGCAAAAATTATAGAAGGTTAAATTTTGACAGCTCAACTATCCGTTTATTCTTATTCTTAATGGGCCTTGGGGGAACCAATTGTCTGAGCACTTTCCAAAGTCAAGTCAGAGTTAGTAGAATAAGGTGGAATCTAATTGGAGC